AGTCCTAGGCTCTAGGGGCTGAGTGAAAGGCCCTCAACCTTGGGCTCCAGTTCTGCCTCTGGCTCCCAGCACACTGAAGCTAGAGGCATCTCTTCACTTAAGCAGCTACTGGCTGCTGAGGCTAATAAGCCCAAGGTTGACAAACAAAAAGTCACAGTCCTGATATTACCAAAACACACGGCAGGGCATTAATTCAAGTCCATTGAAAGTCCCAAGGTCAGCAGAGCATGGCAAGCTGCTGAACAACAACCTGGCTACATGCAGGGTCCAAGAGTGCCGTAAGCTCGAGACCATTCCCAAAGCTGTTTATTATATATGGGAAGCAGACTATATACCCAAAGGCAGCTACTCAGCTGCTCACAGTAGATTCCACCATGGAATTGATTACCAACCAGTCTCATCATGGGGAATACTACATCCAGTTGTCCAGCCACTCAACCAGGCCTAGCCAAGTTGACACACAAACTTAAGCACCACAAGGGCCTTCCCCTTTTTTGCTGACCCTCCACTTTGGCAAGCATGATATCCTTCTCCAGGGAATGGTTCCTTCTGACAATATGACCAAAGTAGGTGAGGCAAAGTCTGGCCATTCTCGCTTCCAAGGAGCATTCCAGCTGCACCTCGGCCAAAACAGTTTTATTAGTTCTTCTGGCAGTCTGTGGTACTTTCAGTATTCTTTGCCAACACCACAACTCAAAACCATCAACTCCTCTTTGGACTTCCTTATTCATTGCCCAGCTTTCACATGCATATGAAGCTACTGAAAATACCAAGGCTTGGGTTAGGTATGCCTTAGTCTTTAAAGAGACATCTTTGCTCTTCAAGAATTGAAAGAGGTCTTTTGCAGCAGATTTGCCCAGTGCAATGTTGTTATTGTTGTTAGGTGCTGTCGAGTCGTGTCTGACTCATAGTGACCCTATGCACAGCAGATCGAAACAGTGCCCAGTCCCATGCCAGCTCCATGATCCTTGCTATACTTGAGCCCATTGTCACAGCCACTGCGTCAGTCCATCACATTGAAGGCCTTCCCCTCTTTCATCAACCCCCCACCTTATCATGCATGACATCCTTCTCCAGGGATGGTCCCTTCTGGTAACATGACCAAAGTAGGTGAGACAAAGTCTGGCCATTCTCGCTTTCAAGGAGCATTTCAGCTGTACTTCCTCCAGGACAGATATGTTAGTTCTTTTAGCAATCCATGGTACTTTCAATGTTCTTCACCAGTACCACAACTCAAAAGCATCAATTCTTCTTCAGTCTTCTTTATTCATTGTCCAGCTCTCACATGCGTATGAGGCAATTGAAAATATCATGGCTTGTGTTGGGAGCACTTTAATCCTCAGGAAGACATCTTTGCTCCTCAGCACTTGAAAGATGTCCTCTGCAGCCAAGTTGCCCAGTATGCCTAAGGCACTTCAATGCTACCCAGAAGGCTGGTGGTTCTAACCCACCAGCCACTCCTCGGAAGGAAGGTTGGGCAATCTACTTCTGTAGTGATGCTGCCTCAGAAACCCAAGGAGGGGTCGCTACAAGTGGGGTCCAACTTGACAGCACATAACAACAACAACAATATACGTGTCTAATGTCCTGACTGCTACTTCCATTAGCGTCAGTTGTAGAAACAAGCAATGTGAAGTTTTTGACAACGTCAATCTTTTCTCCATTTATCATGATGCTGCTTATAGGTCCAGTTGTGAGGATTTTTGTTTTCTTTATATTGAGATGTAATCCGTACTGCATACTGTATTCTTCAATCTTCATCAGTAAGTGCCTCAAGTCATCTTCACTTTCAGCAAGCAAAGTTGTGTCATCAGTGTATCGCAGGTTGCTAATGATTCTTCCTCCAATCTTGATGTCACGTTCTTCTTCATATAGTCCATCTTCTCGGATTATTTGCTCAGCATACAGATTGAATGAGTATGGTGAAAGGATACAACCCTGACGCACTCCCTTCTTGATTTTAAACCATGCAGTGTCCCCTTGTTCTGTTCCAACGACAGCCTCCTTCCTGGTCAATATACAGGTTCCTCATGAGTACAATTAAATGTTCTGCAATTCTCACTCTTAACATTATCCACAATTTGTTACGATCCACACAAGCAAATGCCTTTGCATGGCCAACAAAACACAAGTAAACATCTTTCTGGTATTCTTTGCCTTGAGCAAAGATCCACCTGACAGCAGCTGTGATATCCCTTGTTCCACATCCTCTTCTGAATGCAGCTTGCACCTCTGGAAATTCTCTTGTCATTATACTGCTTCAACCATTTTTTAATTATCTTTAGTAAGATTTTACTTGCACGCGATAATTGATGATACTGTTCGATAATTTCCACATTCTATGGGATCACCTTTCTTTGGAATGGGTACAAATATGGATCTCTTACAATCAGTTGGCCAGGTAGCTGTCTTCCAAATCTCTTAGCATAACCAAGTTTGTGCCTCCAGTGGGGCATCCATTTGTTGGAACATCTCAATGGGTATTCCATCAATTCCTTGAGCCTTGTTCTTTGCCAACTTTCAGTGCAGTTTCGACTTCTTTCAATATCATTGGTTCTTGTTATATGCCACCTCCTGAAATGGATGAAGATCAATCAGTTCTTTTTGGTACAGTGACTCTGTGTATTCCTCCATCTTCTTTTGATGTTTCCTGCATCATTCAATATTTTGCCCATAGAATCTTTCAGTATTGCAACTCAAGGCTTAAATTTTTTCTTCAGTTTTTTCAACTTGAGAAATGCCAAGCATGTTCTTCCCTTTTGATTTTCTAACTCCAGGTCTTTGCAAATTTCATTACAGTAATTGGCCTTGTCTGCTCGAGCTGCTCTTTAAAACCTCTGTTCAGTTCTTTTATCTTGTCATTTCTTCCATTTGCTTCAGGTACTCTCCATTCAACAGCAAGTTTCAGAGTCTCTTCTGACATCCGTCTTGATCTTTTTTTCTTCCTTTCCTGTCTTTTTAATGACCTTTGGCTTTCTGCACAGATGATGTTCTTGATGTCATCCCACAATTCCTCTGGTTTTTGGTTACTGGTGTTCGATGTGTCAAATCTGTTCTTCAGATGGTCTCTAAATTCAGGTGGGATATACTCAAGGTCATATCTTGGATCTTGTGGACTTGCTTTAATTCTCTTCACCTTCACCTTGAACTTGCATATGAGCAGTTGATGGTCTATTCCACAGTCAGCTCTTGGCCTTGTTTTGGACATTGAGCTTCTCCTTCATCTCTTTGTACAGATGTAGTTGATCTGATTTCCTATGTATTCCTTCTGGCGAGGTCCATGTGTATAGCCACCATTTATGTTGTTGAAAAGGGGTATTTGCAATGAATAAGTCACTGATCTTCCAAAATTCTGTCATGCAATCTCTGATGTCATTTCTGTCACTTAGGCCATATTTTCCAACTATTCTTTGTTTCCCACTTTCACATTCCAATTACCAGTAATAATCAGTATATCTTGATTGCATATTTGGTCAATTTCAGACTGAAAAGTTGGTAAAGATCTTTAATTTCCTTGTCTTTGGCTGTAATGGTCCTTCATCATAAATTTGAATAATAGTAGTATTAACTGGTCTTCCTTGTAGGCATATAAATATTTCCCTATCACTGGCAGCATTTACTTCAGGACAGATCTTGAAATATTCTTTGTGATGATGAATGCCACGCCATTCCTCTTCAATTTTTCATTCCCGGCATAGTAGTGCATATGGTTGTCTGATTCAAAATGGCCAGAACCAGTCCGTTTCAGATCACTAATGCCTAGGATATCACTCTTTATGCATTCCATTTCATTTTTTACAACTTCCAGTTTTCCTGCATTCATACTTTGTACATTACACGTTCCAATTATTAATGGATTTTTGCAGCTGTTTGTGGAGGTCCTGAAAGCTTCACTCCATCCACATCATTAAGATTGACTCTACTTTGAGGAGGCAGCTAGCTTTTCTCAGTTACAGTTTCAGTGCCTCCTGACCTGAGGGGCTCATCTTCTGGCTCCATAGCAGTGTTTCAGGGCTATTCATAAAGTTTTCCAGTAATATATCAGACAGTGTTTCACTGCTATTCATAAGGTTTTCACTGGCCAGTTCTTTGAGAAGTGGATGGCCCATTTCTTCTTCCAAAAAAAACCAAATCCAAACGCACTGCCATCAAGTCAGATCTGACTCATAATGACCCCTCCTTGGGTTTCCGAGGTGGTATCACTATGGAAGCAGATTGCCCAACCTTCCTTCCGAGGAGTGGCTGGTGGATTTGAAACACCAGCCTTCTGGTTAGCAGTCAGATGGCTTAAGCACTATGCCACCAGAGCTCCTGTTTTTCTTCCAAGTCTGTCTTAGTTTGGAAGCTCAGATGAAACCTGTCCATCATGGGTGACTCTATTGGTATTCAAAATACAAGTGGCATCACCTCCAGCCTCACAGCAACACACAGGCCACCACAGTATGACAAACTGACAGATGGGTGTTGGCCGATTATATGGTCTCTGTCATAATTAATCAGCTCTGTAGCATAAAAGCAGCTATAGACAACACATGAATGAATGCACATGGTTGTGTTCATATAGAACTTTACCTGCAGACATGGAAAGTTGAATTTCATATTCCCAGATGTTAGTAAATGTTAGTCTTTTTATTTTTCTCCAACCATTAAAAATTAAACTCTTAGCTTACAGGCCATACAAATACAGTTGGTGGACCAGGTTTGGCCAGTGGGCCATAGTTTGCCAACCCCTCCTCTAGGCTATTATCCTAACATATTGTTGGTCAATATACAGTAAATATGTGAGTACTGAGTGAGTTAATATAATGTAACAATCAAATTAATTTTTCAGAGAACACGTTACTCATGTTTGTGATATTATCACCTAGTATAATTTATAAAAATGTGCTTATATGTTTATGTCAGTTTTCCACTTTCCCCTAGAATTAATGCCCTGGTTATCAGTGTTTTCTGTGAAATCAAATGGATGGTGGTTGTTTTTCTTCCATGTGTTTGAATAGGAAGGCCCAAATAGTCTGATTAATGAAGAAGAGTTCTTTGATGCTGTTGAAGCTGCTCTTGACAGACAAGATAAAATAGAAGAACAGGTACGTGTGTTATTAAAAATTCAAAGCTGAAGTTCATTTTGGCATCGTAGGCATTTATGTATGTATGTTACTTCAAATAAATAGATTTTGAAAATTGTAAATCTAATAACCTGGACAGTTAACTTGTCTCTACCTTGAGTCACAAAAGTAGAAGAATCTTTCTAAGTTTCCTCATTTATCAATTTCCAAGCATTTAGAAAGAATTATTTAAAGAATATATTCATAATTAACATGAAATTAAATAGAAATGTTCTGCCTTTTCCCCTTGAAGTATCTAAGTATTGTCAGTAGCTAGTGTGTATTTCTCTGAATAAAAACAGTCTAGAAATTTCTATTCACCAAGTACCTATCATATGTGAATTCAAAAGGAAGATGACCAAGAGTTTATGAATCTTCCCATCCACTTCCCTTCCCAATTTATATACACAGGGTTATTTGTTTGTTTAAATAATATTTTAATTCACATTCAGCAGGAAATAAAAGGATATGAAAGAAAATGAATAACCCTGATTTCTAGTTTTTTTTCCTTTCCTCTATTATTAAATTTACATAGCTTTTATATTATCTAACCCCTTTTTTGCCATTCAGTTCCTTCCTTATTTTTACTTTGTTCATTGTTTTAATATCATCATTGAATTTAAAGCAGTTATACCCAACTCTTTGGAAATCCCTTTGGGAAATCTCTTTGTTAAATCCCTTAAATGTAGTTTCAGTATTACTTTGATCCTTTGACTTTAGTTCTGCAAAAGAGCAATTACCATATTTTACCACTAGATGATACTTTCAAGGGTGAGTTTTAGTGACTGTGCTCTGACTAGCTATGTTTCTCATGATAGAAATGTAATTTTCCTTTTGAGCAAGTGACTGTCAATTATTTACTAAATAAATCATATCCGTAATATACTAAAAAATAGATAGAACACTTGGCTTGATTATTTATTTCCTGTTATTGTTAAAGTAGTAGTGGCCGATATACCAATTTACTGGTCCATCTAGCCAAGAGCAAATTGCCTGCAGTATTGCCTTTCTGTTTTTCTTGAAACTTTATTTTTAATCCACAGTAGAAAGTTCACATCACATTACTTTGTAAAGCGTATTGCTCACTTTTTATGCCAAAAGATGCTGTCAGAATTACCTAGCACTCTAATAAGAGTGGGAACTTGCAGTTACTAAATGAGCTCTACTTTTAGAAGCCTAAAGTATTCCTTGAGGTAGCACCAGTATGTTATTTGTTGTTTCCTTCCCCCAGACATTTCTTTCCTGGTTCTAGGATGTGCTGTTTTGGGGAAAATAGTGAACTGTGGAGTCAGGACACCTTAGTGTTATTCTTAGTTTTGCCACTGACTATGTAATCCACCAGCCACTCCTCGGAAGGAAGATGGGAAAATCTACTTCCGTAATGATACTGCCTTGGGAAACCCAAGGAGGGTTAGCTATGAGTCGGGTCCGACTCGACGGCACATAACAACAACAACATGTAGCTATGGACTTATCACTTCAGTTGTTTGGGCCCTGATTTTCTATTCTATGAAACCAAGGGTATTAGGCAAGATAATTCAGAACATTCTTTCTGATTCTAAAATGCTACTGTACTAAATATCAGCACAGTAGTTAGTTGGAGCTTAAACCAGGATCAATTGAAGACTTCAGGAAGTTTTAAAAGATGAAATATTTGTGGGGCTATCAAATCATTTAATTTTAGTCTTTTTTTTTTTTTTTTTTAAGATACTCCAGTAACATGAGACACATAACAAGTCATTAAACAAACATGAATTTTCTTGCCTTGTACTCAGGCACAGAGATAAAGATAATTACCATGTGGTAATGCTCTAAATTAATAAACTTTAGTAATGCATACAATCAGTTTGTTTGGCTTTCTTTAATTATATAAGGGGTATGCAAAAAATGCCTTGCCGTGGAGTCGGATCCGACTCATAACAACCCCTCCTTGGGTTTTCAAGGCAGTATCACTATGGAAGTAGAGTGCCCAACCTTCCTTCCAAGGAGTGGCTGGTGGGTTTGAACCACCAGTCTCTGGTTAGCAGTCAAATGCCAGGCACTAAGCCACCAGAGCTCCCATAAAGGGTACAGGGCTCTCAACAAGATAGCCAGCACACAACTATTCTCCATTGACATTCATATGACACAATTTTAAGTTTACATTATTTGCAAATATAAGGGAAGATATGCATTAAATTGGTGAATGAGAAATGAGGTCCTAAGAAGGTATGTTCAGATAGTGTTGAATAGAAATTACCAGCTATCTTCTGTATAGTTAGAAAGCACAACACAGTTTATAATACATTGTATTTAATGTAAATTTGTTGAATGGAAAAGAGCAGGCAAGCTCAGGAGGAGGGAAATGGTTAGGTGTCAGCTTAATAGGAGTGAGATAATGAGATGAAGGCAGAATACCTACATGAAAAGGAGGCAAAGAGATACACCTGATATGTTCTTAGTAACATAACTGAAACAATATTGCTTCTAAACATAAGTCCACAGCAGACCTTCATGACCTGATGAGGTAGAATGGTTGAAATGATTAGGCTTGAGGTTGACAGGAGAAAATTATTTTGGCAGCAGTAATAAAATTGACTCTTGGTAAATGATGCTATGCAGGTATGAGAGTCTGGGTAGGAACAAAATCAAAGAACTCATCCCTGGTCTAAGATGTGTCTGTGAAGTCATAAATAAGAGAGTAGATTTGGAATATGTGAAGTGTCAGTATTTGGAAAGGCTGTGTCTCTAGAGTAGTTTTATAATTCAAATATTTATAATACCAAAATGTTCAATAATGAAATGTTGGTAGTTCCAGGTTATATAATCCATTTTGAAGTTGCAAAATATGCTTAAAAACGTACCCATTTTAACATTTTATGTTTTCTTAGTCACAGAGTGAAAAGGTTAGGTTGCATTGGCCTACATCTTTGCCATCTGGAGATGCCTTTTCTTCTGTGGGGACTCACAGATTTGTCCAAAAGGTAAGCTAGTGTCAGTTTACACAAAGTATATGTTGTATTGTTCTTCACTGTTGATGGAACTATCTTGTAGTATAAGTTTTTTCCCCTTTTCTTAAATTTAAATATTGAGACTTTTTTGTACTACATGTTGTATTCCATATTTAAAAAAAGAAAAAAACACTGCCATTCACTCACTTCCGACTCATAGCTACCCTACAGGACAGAGCAGAACTGCCCCACAGGGTTTCTGACACTGTAATCTTTGCAGAAACAGACTGCTATATCTTTCTCCTGTGCAGCAGCTGGTAGGTTCAAAATGCTGACTGACCTCTTGGTTAACAGCCAAGTGCTTAACCACTGTGCTGCCCAGACTCCTTTATTCCATATACATCTTCCAAAGTAGAAATCTGGTTCTGAACATAATGTTTTTTCTTTTTTTTAAAAAAAAAAAAATGGGGTAAGTGGGTTACCAGGGGGTGGCTAGTCCAGAATAATTAACCAAAGTGTAGTGGGTTACATGCAATCTCTTTCTTCTTTGGGGTTAAGTGGTACTATTCTGTGTTATTGGAAGCTGCATTCTCTTTAGAGTGATCATAGAGCATAATACATAATAGGTGCATGAAGTCAGCACTCGCTGCTGTGCTTGTTTCATATGGTGCTTTGTTTTCTCTTTCTTTATCCTGTGTTTGGAAGTTGGTACTGAATGCTCTGTTGTGCCTTTGTTCTGATTACTTGGTTTTTTCTTTGTCTGTCTCTGGTAGCCCTATAGTCGCTCTTCCTCCATGTCTTCCATTGATCTTGTCAGTGCCTCTGATGATGTTCACAGATTCAGCTCCCAGGTACTGTATGAATGTATAGAGTGAACTTGAGTCTTCTGTGCTATATTTCAACCTGCTTTCCTGGTTCCTAAAATCTTTTGGTTAGGCCATTTGTTTTGGCTTTGAATTTTAAACAGTAACAATAAACATTAAAAAGGCCTTCCATATCTACTAAATAGTCCCTCTACCAGGCTTGCATGTATGTGCCCTTTACTTTGTATCCTCTGATGTGAATAGCTTGGAGTTTTGCCATATAGTAAGTACTTTCAAAAGATTTTCAGATTGAACTGAGGAAAATTGAAGGTACCTCATTTTTATATATCATGTAATACCTGCTTTTCAGACAGAATTCAGAAACTTTGATGGACATAGTCTACAGATATGTTGTAATATAAAAAAGCAGGTTTCAGCAATCTCATCTTTGATCTAATATAAAGTGTCTCCTAAGTTATAATCAGCAGGGAAATAGCTATTTTTTAAAAAACTCATCTCACTATCATTATATTAATAAACTCCATTTAACAGGTTGTTTTTTCTTTATGGAAACTACCCTTGCATATTATAATTTAATGTTCCTATTGATATGCTGACTCTCTGTGGAAACTGGTTTTAAGTTTGCTTATTTTAAGGTTTTAGAAATTTAAGACAGAAAACAGATACCTTTCATTGCTGCTCTCAAAATAAAAGCATATTGCCATTGGAGGAATATTTTTTTAGTATGTGGATTAGTTTAATTTTTTTTTTTTAATCTTCACATCTTTGGTATTCAACTTTATATCTTTATTGTGATTGCATTTTATTGGATAGTGATTAAGAACCTGAGCTCTTTCGTCAAAATAACAAGTTATTTTCTAATTATAAATTCTGGTTAGCTGTGTGATGTTGGGCAAGTTATCTGACATTTCTGTGCTTCACCTTTGTGATCTAGGTAGGACTGTGAGTTAGTCTAGTACCTGACACATAGTAAGTGATGAGTAAGTGTAACCTTTTATTAGCTGTTATTATAACATAATTTCTTTGAGCTAATATAAATTGTTTACATTATTTTTTTCCTAGAATACCAGAGTATTCTAATACAAGTTTTCAGAATTCATAATTTAAGAGGTTTATAATATTTGACATGTACAAATAAAATTTACATTAATTTTTATTTATTTTATTGAGAATATACACAGTAAAACATACACCAGTTCAACAGTTTCTGCATTTACAATTCACTGACATTCTTTGAGTTTTGTATCCATTCTCATTGTCCTTTTCTGAGTTGGTCCTCCTTCATTCACATAAACTCACAGTCCTCTAAGTTCCTATCTAATGTCTTGAATTGCTGTTGTCAGTTGATCCCATATAGATAATTCTTAAAGAGCATATGCTCAAGAAATTTACATTAGTTTTTCACTGTACAATAAAGAAGAAAATTAAGTTTGAGCCTCAAAAAGTGTTTTTCTGACTTTTGTAACTTTTTTTCTTGTTAGACATTTTGTGAGAGAGGCTTAGCAGTTCATGATCAGAAATCGCCTACATCTAAACTTACTACAGTATTTCTTATCTTTTGCTCAATAATTTGTTCATTTTTTTCTTTTTTTTAGAAAGTAACTCATAATATTCACAGTAAATCGGTGACAAAATTAGATAACATAATAGTTGGTGTTTTGGGTCTCTACTGCTGCTATAACAGAAATATCGCAAATGTATGATTTTACCAAACAAGGATTTTATTCTCTTACAGTTTAGGAGGCTAGAAGGGATTTAGTCTCTTACAGTTAAGGAGGCTAGAAGTCTGAGTTCAAAGTGCCAGCTCTAGGGGCTGAGTAAAAGCCCCTTGACCTTGGGCTTCAGCTCTGCCTCTTGTTCCCAGTCAATGGGGCTGGAGGCATCTCTTAGCTCGGGAAGCTGCTGGCTGCTGATGCTGAAAAACCCAAATTCAACAAGTAAAGTGACAGAGTCCCACGATTATCAAGTAATACGGGAGGCCAGTAATTCAAGTCCATTAATAGTTCCAAGATCAGCAGACAACATGGCAGGCCACTGAGATGAAGCCTCAGCTACATGCACAGTCTAAGTGTGGCAAAAAGCTCAGAGGCCTTTCTCAACACGGTTCCTTCTATACTAGAAGCAGACCACATCCATGAGACACCTACTCAACTGCTCCAGTAGATTCCACTAGGGACTTCATTGCCAGTCTCATCATGGGGAATAACTACATCCAGCTGCCCAGTGACTCAAAACCAGGCCCAGCCAAGTTGACACACAATTAACTACTGCACTTGGAGACCTTGGTTTAGTCTACTGAGTTCACCTTGCATTAAAGTAATAAAGTAATTAAAAACCATCTGGTCATCATTTTCCAGGAAATAGAGGAATGCACAAGCTCTAAATTAAAATGTTATGGGAGCAAAGAAATAATTAAACCTGTGGTTAAGAATTAGGGCATCAGAAGAGACCTTTTCTAGAGCTATTAAAAAGCCAAAAGCCTTCAAGTATGTTGTTATTATAAGTAAATGTATATTTCTGAAGACCATGTGCCCTTTTTTTTTAAGAATGTCAAATTGAAGCTTACTTCTTTGTGTAATTTTTTATGTAACACATGCATATAAATTGAGAGATTAATCTTGCTGATGGATTTAAAAAAAAAAAAGATCCTGTTTTAGCTTTGATTTTTATACTGTTCATATGCCAAAAGAAGTAAAAATGAAGAAAATAATATTAAAATTGTCTTTGTGCTTACTAAAGCATTTGTTGTCAACAGACTTGAGCTTTGGCAATTAACTGTTGGTTAAACTGTGTACCTTATGGTTGGTACCTTTAGGGTAACTAAATCTAAGTTGATAAGATTGTTTTACAGACTGTTGCACTTCCTTATCTCCCATTCCAAAGGATCTAGCAAATTGATTCTGAACTATCACTTAAGGATATAGCATTAGCTCTAGAACTAGAGTTAATAATTCCTGGGAAAAGCTCCTAATTCAACCTAATATGAAATTACACTAATAATTAAGTTTTTTACATTTTACAATCAGCACACCCTGAAGAGATTTATATACTGAGTAAACTCCTATTAGAAGCTCTAAAGAGATACATTAATGTTAGTAAAGTAAAAACTCTTGCTTGTTATTGTTACATGCCATGGAGTCTGCTCCAACTCACAGCAACCCTATGTACAACAGAACAAAACACTGCCCAGTCCTGTGCCAACCTCACAATGCTTGTTACGCTTAAGTTCATTGTTGCAGCCACTGTGTCAGTCTGTCTCATTGAGGGCAGTCCCCTTTTTCACTGACCCTCCACTTTATCAAGCATGATAAAGGGTATAGTCCCTTTCTGACAACATGACCAAAGTAGGTGAGACGAAGTCTGGCTATTCTCACTTCCAGGGAGCATTCCAGCTGCACTTCTTCCCAGATACATCTGTTTGCTCTTCTGCCAGTTGATGGTACTTTCAGTATTCTTCACCAGCACCACAACTCAAAAGCATCAACTCTTTTTTAGTTTTATTAAGATATAACAAATTTATTTTTTCATATTTTGTATGTGTAGTGGTATATCCCCATGCCATTCCTTAAAACGTTTGAATTAGCCATGTTCTTGATGTTGTTATATCTTGACAACTAATTTAAAAAGTAAGTTGTAAAGTTTATCACCACTTTTAATAATTTGCTAAAATATGATTTAAACAGAATGCCACAATCAATTTACATTTACCCCAACATCTTTTAAAAATTCAGACATATATATGAATCTGATACCTAGTTTCTTGATCATTTACATGACTTTCCACATAGAAGCCTTCTAAACATTTTATAATTTGGTTTTGCCATCTCCGTGGAAGTCTTGGCTCATGACTAACTGGTTCTTATTGATATAATTTTCATTCTTCTGATAGGGAAATGTAGAACTGAGAGTTGCCTTGAAAATAACTTCAAATAAAATATCTGAAACTACTAGGATATTAGTAGCAACCCATGAATTTGCCTGATGTGCAAATAAGTAGCTCCAAATCTGAGAAAGTAGAGTTGCAAAGGACTGCAAGTTGTTGAAATAATGGCTATAGCCAAATTAAAGAATAATCTTCAAGTACACAGAAAGCAGAAAGATCTTTTCTAGATCTTTTCAGTCACGTTTGTTTGTACTATGTAATACAAAGTACATGTATGTAAAGATAATAATCAGAGTTTAATCTGTGGTGAATGTCAGTGCAGAAAGGTTCTGGGTAAAGTTATTTTCCAGTTTATGTTCATTATAACACACTATTGTTGTGGTAGTTTTTTGTTTCCACCCTTTCATTATTATACGTATAATACATGCTGATTTTAGTAAAACTAGAAAGTGAAGTGAATAAAAATATTGGATCGTTATTAATAATCTCTTACATATTCTTCTATACTTTCTCCATATACTATGTGTGTATTTACATATATGTGTGTGTGTATTTATAGATAAGTGTGTATTTATATATATGTGTGTGTATATATACACACACATACACACATGTATACACACACTTTTTTCTAGCAAAGTATGTAATTCTATATATACTATTTCATAACATTTTAAAACTCACATGTAAGCCCATCTCACCATCAGTAAATATAGGTTACCTCTCTTTGTCTATTGTATGGTACATACACTGCATTTACATACTCACCTAATATTGAATATTTATTTTCAGTTTTTCTCTATTATAAATAGTGATAAAAGAAACATCCTTGTATATATTATTTCCTTAGAATATATTCCTAAAAGTAGAATTGTTAGGACAAATGCCATGTACATTTCTAAGTTTGTTTTAAATTTATATTGTAAAGCTGCTCCTTAAAAAATTGAAACAACTCATACATCCATGCCAGTTTTCCTTTGTCATACTGATAATGGATATGATAATTCATTAAGTTTTGCATATCTAATAGACTAAAAGTAGTATTTTTGCTTCTTGGCCATTTGCATTTCTTCAGTGAATTGATTGTGGCTTTGGTTGTTTTTCTTTTGGGCTAATAGTACACTAATTTGTTTTTAATAAATGA